TTTTTCCTCTACCTTTATGGATCAAATGTGATTTAACGTATCGGGATTCCCCAGCAGGATGATTTGGTTATTTCGTAGGCTCTGTATGCCGATGATTTCGTTACCCACGCAGGACTGTGAGAGACTCACTTTCCGCCCTATGACTTAATGGGTGCTTTTAAAGCATCAGAGCATTCCCCTACGAGATAACCATCCTATGATAGCCCCGTGCTAGTAGTCACTACTAGTATAAGTACAACTCATTTGTATCAAGAGTATTCTTGGCAACCCCAAGATGTAATTTACCATGTGAGATATGTCCCCTTGGAAGAGCACTCTAGTCTCTAGAACATGCAAACACATCTGAATCTCTAGTTGTGGGAATCCTACATAAGTATTTATTTGCAGATACAGGTCCAAGGTGCTTCCGACCGATCTTATTTAGGCAAACATACTTGACATATCATTGTGAGGTTTATAGCACGTAGGCTCTCAAAGTTCTTTCTCTTATTTTTTATCTTTGTCATACATCTGTATCTTCTTGTTTATCTCTTCTCCTGATCATTTATAGATCCATAAGAGAAATTTATTTGGTATACAACAATAGACAAACTAACGACTTCTTTAAAACTTAAAAAAGAGAAAAAAAAAACGAAAGCAACCACGTGGTCAGTCGGGCCGCTCTTCTCCCTATAAGGATCCAAGTGGGGAATCCTTAATTTCATCGGGGGTATAGTTTCTAGAATTTGGAGGTAGAAAGCACTACCTGTAGTTGGTTAGATGGGTGTGCCTACTTGATCCTCCTGGTGCCTGATTATCAGTGTAGACGCCAGATTGTCTGCGAGTTAGGAGTCCTCCCTACCCTTCAGTCAGTCTTTTGGCAGCTTGAACATTGGGCGCGGGCGGATTCTTGCGAGGAACACCTAGGGAGCGAGTTTATTGAGACTCTCCTTCAAAGAGCGGCGATTGATTATTCTTCTCGGCCATTACAACCAGGAGGGTTTCAAACTGGTCCACCATCTGCGCCTGAAGTACCTAAAACTTTTTCTGGATGTCTCGCCACACCGTTTCTCTATTAAATTCCATGGAAGTCGCATTTCTCTGTCAAAATTCTCCTTCGTAATTTGCTCTGCTTCTCGTATGGGGCATCTCCACGCTCACCGCATCATCTTTTAGGACATTGAATGCTAAACTGGCCTTTAGATAAAACACACCTCGAGAGTTGGAGCCGGGAGAAAGAGTAAGAAAGAGAGAGTATAATCGACAAAGAATTCTTGAGAAAACTGTCGGGGGAAAAGTCAATTTATTTGTCTTTGGACCTCCTGTTTATAGGGGTCCTTTTTGTACAATTACAAAATTGAAGGAATAGTACCGCTCTTAATGCAATCAATGCCTTGAATTAATATAAAATTCATGTTGTCATTTTAAGTGTAATACAATGGTCATTAGCAGATTAATGCATCTCAGTTCTATAGATCAGGGCGACCGGTTATGTGGTGATCGGCTCATGCTGAGTCAAGTCAGTCGATCAACTAGTTGTAATCGGGCGCCTTTGAAAGATGTTTGGGTAGCTGAGATCGTAAGCATGGTCCGTTGTTTGAATCCCTCGACAACGTGGGTCTGCCGACCCAATAGAGCGGTCGGTCATCGAACAGTTGGTTCAGACCATGCTTCCTCGGCCTAAAGCTTTGCTTGCCCGACCGTCATCCTTTGTCGTCTTATTACTTTAAGATTCATGCTAATAGCTTTAACGTATACAAGAAGGATTTTATTCAAAATAGATTTAACACATTCTATATCAAAAAGAATGGATGGAGAATGCGAATTCATATTCTCACTCTAAATATTTTGAGATAAGGCTACTGATGATCATTATGGTTTTAACCAGTTGATGTTGTTATATTTTGGTCAGAGGAACACGTCGACTGACAGTGGAAGTGGATGTAGCCTTATTGAGATCAGTCTGATGTGATGTCTAAAGTTATTATTCTATTAGTAATCTCACTTCCTAGATTTATACACTTTGGGTCTATTTTTTGTAATTGGATGTCTTTTTGATGGGTGCTGAGAGAGTGAATCCAAGCCATGTCGCACAGAGAATAAAAGCCATTTTTTTTTCTTTCTATATATACATATATATGTATGTATGTTTGTGCATGCATGCATGCATACATGCATGTACATACGTACATACATACATCCATGTTTCTGTGTAAAACGACTTACATAAATTTGACTCAATTCTCAATCTTATTTATACATAAAAAGGGATATATTTTATTTTTTTAAAGTTAAAATAGCGACATCATTTATTTATGTGAAATTCAATATTTGGGTGCTATGGTGGAAGATAAACAAAAGAAGAAAGATCATCAATGATGCAATCTTGGGGACCAACTTTTCAATTCATTTTTTTAAAAAAATAATTTAAAAATAAAAAAATTATGAATTGGTAGAAGATACATTTTCCTTGTACTTTTCAGTCGCCGATAAGGGTGTAAATGAGTCGAACATGAGCGAGCCCAGGCTTTCCCCGAACCCAGGCTTTTGTTCGGCTCGTTTATATTTCGAGCTCAAAAAGTGTGTTCGTGTTCTGCTCGTTTGCTTAGCGAGTCGAACATGAGCCGTTCACGAACAAATAGTCATTTTGACAAGCCTAACCACGTAGCCCTAAGATGTTAAGAAATGAGGCAAGATTTAAATCATCATTTGAATCTAATTTAATAAATTTTATTCTATTTTTTAATTAATATTTTTACTTGATTATAAATCTTTGTAGCATTGTAGTTCATAAAATTTTTTAAAAATACTACAAATTTTTAATTTATTAGTAGTATTTCGAGCCAAAACGAGCTGAACACAAACAAACAAATATTATTCGTGTTGTTTGTGTTCGACTCGTTAACTTAACCAAGCCAAACACGAGCTTCTTAACGAGCCGAACACAAACTTCTTAACTAGCCGAACACGAACTGTTCGCGAACAACGAACCGTTTTGACAGCCCTAGTCACCGAATTCTAAGATCTCAGCATATTTCTTATTTTATCACAATTTCAATTATTTGATTTGCTGCACATACAGATGCATATATTTGTAATTTTTGCTGACGTGTTTAATTTTTAAATATATATGATTTGACAAAAAGAATAATACAAATAAATAATTAAGCCTTCATTTTTTTTTTTTTGTCATTTTCATCCTCGCTGGTTGGATTTCAGGCCACAAGTCCCAACCACTTCTGATGCAATTTATGTAGTCCTCTGGATATATTTTGCCCGGACATTGAGGAGAAATTATTGCGTGCGGACACTGCATGCTTCTCTGCGGGGGGTGGCGGATCCTAACCGTAGATCACGATGATCTACGGTCAGGATTATTTTCTGTTTTTTTATAAATAATTGGTGGGGCCAAACGCGAAAAGTTTCATGAAATCCCTTATTCTTGCATCTTTTGGCCACCGCTGGCAGTTGTGGGGATTTTAAAAAAACGTAAGCTTTTTGTGGGTTTTGAATTTCTCCGTGTTTGTACATGGGGGTAAGGCCTGTCTGTCTATTGGAAGGAAGTGCTGTCAAGCTGCTGGGGTGCTCTTGAGCTGCCTGTCTGGCATGCAAGCACTGGCTAGTGTGTTCGTGGTTTAATGGGCATGTGGCCATCTTGTAATGCTCGGTGCTGGCAGCTTCGCAGGGAGAGAGACAATCACTTTTTTTAAAAAAATAAATTACATACACACCACTCAACTTTTATGTATTTACATATCATATACCCACCACCTTGCGTATGGATAAAAAGGTGGATTTAACTTTTTAAAAATAAAAAAAAGATGATATTTTTAATGTGATAGAAAAAAATATGGGTGGCATGAATATTAAAAAATCTTATTTGTTTTTCAAAATTTTTAAATCCCGATAAGGGTGTAAATGAGTCGAACATGAGCGAGCTGCCTGTGGCCTGTCTGTCTATTGGAAGGAAGTGCTGTCAAGCTGCTGGGGTGCTCTTGAGCTGCCTGTGGCCATCTTGTAATGCTCGGTGCTGGCAGCTTGGCAGTGCTGGCAGCTTGGCAGCTTCGTAGGGAGAGAGACAATCACTTTTTTTAAAAAAATAAATTACATACACACCACTCAACTTTTATGTATTTACATATCATATACCCACCACCTTGCGTATGGATAAAAAGGTGGATTTAACTTTTTAAAAATAAAAAAAAAGATGATATTTTTAATGTGAGAGAAAAAAAATATGGGTGGCATGAATATTCAAAAATCTTATTTGTTTTTCAAAATTTTTAAATTTATTTGTTAAATATATGAATACATACTCATGAATCATGATTAGTTGTAAATTTACCTCGAAACTAAATAAACACTCAATTTTGGATCGATTGATATATATAATGGTTGGAGGCTATGATACGAGCCCCATCCACCATCATGTGCCTAACCGTTTGATCCCGCGCTGCAAGACAGATGCACTCAGGCGAGCTCGAATGTGTGTCCCAAAGAAACTTAAACTGACTGCTCATATGTCAACCAAAAAATCACAATGATCAACACACATATATATAATAAATAAAATCAAATATAGTAAGCCACGAGTCAATTTCAAGCTCAAATAGATCCAAATAACTCAATTGAGCTAAGATCATAGATCCATATAACTCAGCTGAGCTAAGATCACTATGATTTTAAGTCGATTTCTAGCTTGAACGAGCCGGATCAAACTCAATTCAATAATGAGCCAAACAGAAAAGCCGACCCAACTCAGCTCAAAATTGAATCTTTAAAGACCCTAATCATGATATACCATCTTCATGATGGAACAATGATAGAATAATCCAATAACCAATAAATCTAAATAGACCTGCTTGACTTAACATATTACAAATCTACCACAAAAACTTGAACACCCAACATGAACATTAAAAACTTCATCTTTTGCAATGACAACCCCAAAATTGAATTAATTAATCACATATAAATTTATTTCAAAATAAATATGATAATTATAAAACTCACCATGATCAAACTTGAATCAAAATTAATCAACACTGGAGTCCCCTAAACATTTTAATCACAGCAGATTTCCTGAAATGAAAAAGCTTATCCTTTCCAGCAACAAGAGATGGATGCAATCCAATTACATTGTCAAACATGAAATCATGCCTTGTCAATATTCCCACCACAGGTGCTCTCTGCAGCATAGCATCACAGAATAATTAAGAAAATTACATATCAAAACTAATAATTTTAGCAGTTTTTACTTAGCAACCACTCAAAATATTAGATATAACATTTTAACCATTTAAATTTTTAAAAATTAACATTTCAAACACCCAAAATGTCTCATTTTTCGTTACAGACACCCTCTGTTATCTGTCTCATTGCAGGTTTTGGGTGATTGAAATGTAAATTTTTAGTATTTTGGGCAAAATTTTATCACCATATCTAAATTTCTCTTTCTTCAAGGAAGATTTACACAGACATCACTTAATTCATGTATTTACAGATCTAACACCTAAACTTCAAGGAAGATGTATTTCATTTTCTAACAGTTAAAATCGTAGTATTTTTGATATGACATGAAACATTTTGGTGGTATAAATGCAACAACTAAAGCTTAAGCTGTTAGATATGTAAATTTATAGGGACTGGGGGTGGTATGCATGTAAAAAAAAAAGTACAACTAAAGCTTAAGCTGTTAGATATGTAAATTTACAGGGACTGGGGGTGGTATGCATGTAAAAAAAAAAAAAGAAAAAAAGGAAAAACTTACAGAAGGCAACTTTGGAATAACCAGAAGGTGTCTGAGACCAACTTCACGGAAGAGAATATGAGCTTTCGCAAGGGACATGGTTTCCACAACAGTATACGGTGAAGTATTCGTAAATGGATGCAAATCGATGAACATTTCCATCTCTTCAGCTGTAAATAAAATATCGTTTATAGTTTCACGCTTAACCGAGCCACGTTTGGCAAAATCCTCAGCTTTTAACTGCTTCGATTCATGCTTAGCTTCAACAGAAAACTGCGACCGCAAAAAACACTTTTTTTTCAGCAGAACCAGAAGGTGAGAACGAAGAATCAGGCCATAGAGCACAGGAATCTCTGAAGATGGCGGTTCATCTATCACAGGAAACCCATTGTGACCAGTCGTCTTCAAGATATGAACCACATTACCGACCTTTTCGACGCCATTAAGGACAAACAAGGGACCTGTGACCACATCTCCAACAGTAAGCTGTCTCATGTATGGCTCTGCATATCCTTGAAGAAAAGGGAAGCCTTTTAGCTTGACGAGGGTGTCGTAGATGTTACTATTGAAACAGTCGGCCACGGTTTTCGATATGAGGACGACTAACATCACCAGAGGAAGCAGAAGGAGATTGTTCGTCAGTTCGAGGAGGATGACGCATACGGATACAGTCATCCTCATCGATCCGCCGAGCAATGAAGCAGAGCCGAGCACTGCAAAGAGGCCATCATCTAGCGAAGATTTAGAGCCCATCATCATTCCGATTAGACGGCCGTAAGTTGCGCCGGTTAAGATGACGGGAATGAAAAGACCAGAAGGAACCACGACGCCATAGCTGAAGATTCCGAGGAAATAGGAAGTAACGAAGAACAGAATGATGGAAAACTTGTTGAAGGCCCTGTCTGTGCCCGCACTGTAGAGATTGCGTATAGCGTCGTCGTTGGTGTTGAAGAATAAGCTAGCGAGATCGTTGTAGTGATCGGGAGCGCACTGAAACTTTTTGAAGTTGCCCGATCTTCCTATGGACGGGCAAGCTTCGGATATGCCGCCCGGGCATGGTGCACAGGATGCCAGCCATGGAATTCCAAACAGACAACAAGATGTAAAAATGGAGACACATGCCGCAAGGAGCAACTTATACGCTCGGCCTTTCCTGAAGAAAGAAAGAGATTGCATCAATATGCAACATGAAACAATTTTTTGGAGGAAGATTACATATCATACACTCAAATTTCAATTTTTAGATATATGTCATCTTATCTATGAATGAAAAAGATATATTTCAAGTTTGAAAAGTTCAGATAGTAATACTTTTTATGTGATTTGAAACATTAAAGTAGAATAAAGGTAAAAAAAGTAAACTTTAGGTGTTAGACATACAAATAGATAGGAATTGAGTGATATATATGTAAATGCCCCCTTTTTTTAATAATTTTCTTACAATGCAACGAACATTAAACAGATATCAAGTTTGTAAAAGAAAAACAGTTTTGAGGACAGAGAAACTGATGTTATCTAGACGCAAAAAATGCTTAAAAAAATGTTTTTTGCAGAAGGGTGTGATAAAAGCAATCCGTACTCGTTGACGACTGTGTAAATTCGAAGAACCTTGTGTAAGAGAAAATTGTAAAAACTTCCAAGTACGCCGCCTACAACTCCGAGAACAATCACAGGAGGTAAGTCTGATAAATGGTAGACGACGTTATCTGCAGTTACATCGAACATTATAAGTCCTCCCTTTCCAAATAAGCCACACTTTCCACTTTTGCAGAGATCTACAAAAGCCCTTAGCACAACGGCAACAACAGCTGTTGTGAAAAATGCCCTCCAAAGAAGTGTAGACCTCCACCTGCAAATATGGAGTAAAAGAAACCAATAATGGCTATCAGTTCATTCTCTTCTCTTCACAAAAATATTCATTCAATATATTACCTATCAATGACAAGGCATACTTTTCATGATAAATACGCAAATAAATGCAATTATTCATGCCAAGCAAGAAGAAATTAGGCATGTGTGAGAAACAAAGAAGAGTTTTTAATGTTTACTAAAAATGTTAGTTTTTAAACGTTAAAAAATCTTAAGGTTTCTCCGCATAATGAAAAAGGCAAAACAACATTTGTCCACTTTCTAGACTAAAGCTAGTACTCGAATACATGTTGTCGAGAGTAAAAGCATAAAGAAGTGGTACAATCCACTGAGCCTAGTGCTTGTGTGCTTTGTATCAAACTACAATGTCTTGAGTTCAAGGCCTAGCAAATACGAGGGCAGGGTTCTATATATTTTCATATATAACAACTAAGCTTTCATATTTACATTTATAAAACTTTGGTGTTTTAAATCTATATTTGAAAATATGCATTTCACTTTTAAAAAGTTAGTAATAATAATATTCTAGATATGATATTAAAGAGTTGAGTGTAATGAATGTAAATATGAAACTTGGCTATTAGATAAGTAAATACATAAGAATTGTGTGGTGGCATGTATCATGTAAATATCCCCCAAATAAAAATGCTAGCATAAACAAGAAAAAAAGAAAATTCTACCAAAAAGTGAAGAAAACATCACACCATCTCAAATTCAAAACTTAATGATCACAATTTTAGAACCTCCTTCTGTTTGAGCTTGAGAAAGACTAGATCAATAATTGACTGCCTGCATTTGTGTTATCAGCGTCCTATAATTTCTCCAACATAAAACACAAATTTTAAAACTAACATGAATCTATAAGAACAAAAGTGCAAGAGCACAAAAAATAGAGAAAAAAACTCACAAAAATAAGCCCATAATAATCAAGCAAATGTTTACCATGTTGTTACTGATTCAAGAACAAAGATTACTCCGCCAATTGGGGCACGAAAGGCAGCGGCGATCCCGGCTCCAGCTCCACATGTCACTATATCTCTCCTGTCTCTATCGTTCTTGAAGTATCTAAGCCACCGGCAAGTTAAACCGTATTTTTGCGAGCCCCCTTGGCCCAACAAAGAAGCAATGCATGCTGTTGTGTGCAGCATTGGGCCGGCTCTACCCACATGGAGTGAGGCTGATACAGCATTGATGCTACCAACAATCTGGATTTGCAAATAATTCTCCAATTAATAGGACATGGATTTGCTTTTTTATGCAAAAAAAAAAATTGATGTAATTTGGAGGACATGGATTTGCTTTTTTATGCAAAAAAAAAAAAAATTGATGTTTGGCTGGAAAGAAAATGAAAATAAGAAATGATTAGTGCTCATAAGTGAAAGACTGGTTCAGTAAGAAAGGAAGAAAATCAAGAAAATGACCACTATGAGGGCTTATTTCATCACATCTGAAAAAAAGGAATTTTTTTTTTAATTTTTTTTATAGGTCATGCTTGGGCACAACTTGGATTTAGAAAATATTGAATCCAGATTAAGTAGAGATTTTGAAGTTTATGATTTAAACATGAAGAAGAAGAGATATATTGGGGAAAAAGGGGTGCAAATCTCTTAAATCCTAAATCCTGGAGTAGTCTTAAAACAGTAGGAAACATACAAAAAGAGAAGAGATTTAACAGTATATTATGATCTATGTGACTCTAAAAACTTTTTGGCCAGATTTAGCATGAAAGGATTTCACACTTCCACTTTTCTCTCAAAAAAGAGATGCAAAACTATGAAAGCATGCAAATAAGAAGCAGGAGAACTCAAAGCCACACCTTGACGACAAGAGTTCTGAAAGAGAATATCTCAGGCGCATCAATGCCATTCAAATAAGACTTCACTTCCGGTATTCCAGATCCGGCCGCCGCTGGAGCGAAGTAAGCAGTGATGACCGCCGCAAACATCGTCAGCACGAAATTAGCTGAAGCAAAAACCCCAAAGGCCCAAAAATACCTACCACATCGATCGAATCGAACCAGTAGAAGGAGAAAAAAATGCACTTTTTTAGGGTTTTAACCAATGGAAACCGACCGTCTACTTACTTGTTTGCAAGCATCAGGTTGGAGGTGACGACGAACTTGATTCCAGCGATGTTCTCGATGGCAAGATTGTTGAAGAAACCGACGCAACCGGATAATACGCCGACGAGGAAGCAAAGGGTCCATTTGAGAATCACGTATTGGAACAACTCGGCCCGCCCACCTCGCACTCTCCAATCATGATTTAGAAGCTCGTTCTCCACAATCCTGCAACACAGGACCACCACCCCATTCATCTAATTAATAAAAAAGATAGAATCTTGTCGGAAGAAATCAGAGGAAGGAGATGGGCAAAATGATACTCGTAGTCTAGGCTTTCGATGGGGGAAACACTGGAGCCGACTAGTGCGAGCTGCGAGAAAGACTTAGAGGCGGCGCGGAGGAGGGGCTCTTCCTCGCCGGCGGCATCCTTGATCGCCATGAACAGCGCCACGGGATCGGAGAAGTACGGCGGAGATTCCTTTTTATCTGTCTGCTTCCTGCAAGAATCGAGTTAAAGTTGATGCGAGGTGGAGAAGTTGAATGGAGCTTTTCCGCTCGTAATAGAAAACGGAAATGGGGGCAGGAGAACGAGATGTGCGCATCATTTTCTCTTTAATACATATTATCACTAAAAATTATATGCTAAGAATCTCAATGTATTTTTAATAAAAAATTATTCAAATTTATATTTATAGTCATTTAAGTTCCGATTTCATCAAATTTATAATTAAATTGAATATCTTCAAAAAAAAATGAACCTAATGGCACTAAAATTATTTTAATGTGAGTATAATCAAGCACAAATCAAGTTGTTCAAATAGTATTAGAGGTTTTGTAATGCCAATGAATTCTAAATTTGATATATTTATAGTCGAATCGAGCACCCCAACGAGAGGAATCCAATGAGCCTAAGTCACTCAAATCTTAGGTCATTAATGTTCATAAATCCTTAAAAACTCACATATGGTCAAAAGGGATCAACATTGGACTATGGATAAGATTGTTAGAGAAATTATTTGCAAAAAGATTAAAAAAGCCTTCCCAAAGAGCCATAACTAGACCTCATTTCTTCCCTTGAGGAGAGAAAAGAAGAGAAGAAGTAAAATAGCAGCGTCTGTTCTAAAGATAAGACCTGAGACGAAGATCACAAGCCTCTGTAGCCACTAGGGATCGTCGACAGCAGCCAATTATCTCTACTTGTTGTCGCTGACCATCAACCATCTGCAAGCATAGTTTGCAATTGTTGTAACTAGACCACGATTATTGTTAAATTTCCTAACACTTGTATTTTTTATAAGCTATATGAAAACAAGTGTAATTTTTAGTGTAAAATTTTAACCTCATTCTCTCTCTCATGAGAAAAAGACATTCACTATACTTACAAGAATATAGCACATTACTTTGAATGTGTCACACCCTGTGCTTTTTTTCATTTTCAAGAGTTGAATCATAATTTGCCCGTGAATCACACCCAATAGATAGAGCTAGAGGAGAGAGAGAGAGAGAGAGAGACGAGTGATCAATTATGAATGGTAATCTGTCGTTTCTTATTAGTTAAATTTATTCATAAAATGATCTCTTTTTATAAGGTAGATGGTACAATGTGATGATGTTACATTTTGTACCATATCTTAAGAGGGTTCGTACCAGGGTAGTTATGATATTTTACATATGTGAGCATGTTGCCCAGCTACTTTTTGTCTTGGCTGGTCATCCTTAATCGACTTCGAGTGGTAGGATCAGCTTCATTGGTTGAATACACTTGGTAAGATAAGATCAACTCAATTGGTTGAGCTTGTTCGATATTGGTCTGTTGGTTGATATGATCCAACTACCAATTCTTGACCCCTGACGAGGATCCTCTGTGTGTCTCTGGGATGGTTGGAGATGCTTAGGAACTATATCTTTTCTTGACTATGCTCCCTTGTGAGACTCGGCTCAAATATATTTTTGCCTCATTTCTGGTTGAATAGATCTTTCTTGTATCCTCCAGTCAAATTTGTTTCATCTCATGGATTGGTCATTCTTGGTCTTGTAGTCTTTGATAAGTGGGCCTTATAATATTCTATCAGTGGGCCCTTTTTCGTTGTATTTCTCACTTTTTGACCATAAGATCTTCCCAAGATTTTTCACTAGCATATTTTTATGTATATATTTTAGTCCTCTGATTCTCTTACATATTGAAAGTAAAGATGTGATAAGAATATAAGAATTTAGACTAATCACATTTATTACTAATCAATAATTCAATAATTGAACTTCCTCGATTTCTCTGCCTTTGTTTCATATAAATAAGACATGATAAAATTCCTTCCCATGATCCCATCCCTTATTCGCTCCACAACTCATCTTGTTTGAATCAGTCGGCTTCCAGGTGTTGTGATGGAAAACGTGTCAAAACCTTCGTGCAAGATCCATAATAAAGATCTGATTCATTTTCCATTCAAGAAGCTAAAAGGATGAGCGACAAGAAAATGAATGAAAGAAGAAAGTTTTCATTAAGAAGAGAAAAGAAATTGCTACTATGCTGACGGATTAAGAGAGGTCGTCTGATTCGCACCATGGTCCTAAGCAAATGAATGTTTAGTTGACTAACCCAATCATCAATTTGAATGGGCTACACAAGAAGTTGGTGTTGCTTTATCATCACATAGTGAGGGTGTTATATCGATTATATCATCTGAGTTGGATCAACTCCTGAGTATGATGAGTCTCGATATTATTTGTTTGGTTTTTAGTTTTTTTTTAAGTCTTTATTATTTATGTTGTCTCCTGGTGCAGATGATTTGAATTGAGAGGTTTGAGTAAGGATCCAACCCCGATTGAAATGGTTGAGAATCTAATCTATGTGTCAACGATAATGGAATAGGTGTCTGGTGAGGGTGGTCAACTCTTGAGCGGGGTTAACTGCCTAAACTATAATTCTGAGGCCCATGTGATAACAACTAATAGGTGAACATCTCTCGGATAACTGGTTGACTGCCTAGACAAGATCAAAAACTCCTTCGCTTAGTCAACAGAGATCCAGCGAGGCCATGAGATGCGTGAGCTATTGGCTTGTGTGGAGAAAGTGGAGATGATGGAGGAGGTGGTGGCAACTCTTTGTCAGAAACTGTTGGACTTCCAGGAAAAATCCTTGATAACCTTGTAAAGATGGTATGTCTGAACCAGTTTAGGTATGGGGAAAGTTTTATATAATAAATTACTTCATCTGGGGTATATCTCGTTGGAAGCGGCGGCTGACACCATTGTAAAATATTTTTTTCTCGAGCTAATTTCACAGTAACATCTGGGATTGATTGTAAAATAATATATGCGGTATGAATTGAGGTGGATTGATTGTCTGAGAAGTTACCATCTTGGATAGCTCTGTCTTGTACTCTGTCAGCTCATATTCTAAGGAAACAAGTCACACAACCATCTTAGCTCCAAAATCATATTAACCCTTATATTCGCTCTAATGGTATTTGATCTTGATGAAATCGTAGTTCCACTCTCTTTAAAAAAAAAAGCCAAATCCCATTTGAAGCTCCATCTTTTTTTTCCATATGAAAAAATAGTTTGATGTCAAACATATAAAATAATTAGGCAGCAATGAAAGAGAAAAAAAAATTAAAAAAATCCTTAGCCTCTTAAAATCTGGTGTACAAATGAGCCACCACATTCTCTGGGATGAGAATCTTTGAAGGACTGGACTAAGGCAATTGCAATTGTTCCCGACCATTGTGCAATGAGTTCTTCTGCAAAAGAACATTATAACAATGTGACTCTTTACCACCTATGAAACAAGGGTACACATGTGTTTATCAAGCTATAGTAAATTATTTTTGCCTTGATTAGGCTATGTGGTTTTTTCTTTATGGATTTTCTATGTAAGAACTTTTGATACTACCTATCTGAATATGGTAAATTCTCATAAATTCTGAGACGATAGTTCAATACTCTACCTTTTTTAATTCTCTAGCGTACATGAACAATCAAAAATATAAATTTGAAATTTTAAATTAAGATTTGTTTGAGTTAGTTCACTACGTACAAATACTAATTTTTTATTTAAAATAATAATCGACGTAATATTCGATCAACAAAATTTTTTCTATATACAAATCTTTGTATATACCAAAATTAAAAACATGAATCTCAAAGAGAACGAACGACCAAAATGAAAGGGTCTCCTTTCGAGGTAAGCAATCAACTGACGATTCAAGGTTAAACATGAAGACGCATCTCCAAACTCAGAATAGGTTCAAGCTCCAGAGATGGTTCTTCGCTCAGTAGTGGCAAGACCAACCGAAAGTGAGGTGTGATTCATCATGATAGTGAGTCTCGTCGGATACCCCACGTGGGCTGCGACAAGATCCCCTTAAGACATTGCAAGGTTGAGATATCCAACCGAGGCAACGAACCACCAGGTAGGCAATACACGAGTTCTGTAAAACTCGAGCCAAACGAAAAATGAGCCATGACTCACTACGAAAAAAGCAAACCGACCATATTCGACCGACCAACCCCGCTTCCGGACCGAACGACCACCTCACTTTCCATAATCAAGTAGATCTTAATGACAAAATATATATAATCAATTAGAACTTAATGACATTAAAAATGATTTCCATAACCATTTCTTATTTTCTGTAATTGTATAAAACACACTTCTATAAGTACATGACAAAAATATGATTAAATGGGTATTTGCCTCGATTCTCCCTATGAAGATCTCAGATTTATTCTACTATATATTTATTCTCTTCTTCACTTTGCTCAAATTCTCAGGAAAATATGATTAAATGGGTATTTGCCTCGATTCTCCATATGAAGACCTAAGATTTATTCTACTATATCTCTCTTCTCTTCTTCACTTTGCTCTAACTCTCAGAATGTGATTCATAAATAACAAACTAGGATCTAACAATTTTAGTGTGAAATATTTTAAATATATGATCCAAAATACGAAGAATAATATAACAAAATGCATATTAGTCTAATTAAATACCACATAACACTTTTTCTTCCCTTCTCTCTCCATCTCTTGATCATTGGGCAATAAGTGCAACCAAAAGTTATTACCTTACACTAAAATAGTACACCATCAATCGATGACCATTCGGCTCTAGTCCGCAGGCCACTGTGAGTGAACAGGATAAGGATGAATTCAATGCATCGTTTTTATAAATTTAAAATATTTTAATTTTCTCCTAAGATCCGAACCAAGCAGACCTCACGTTAATCAGAAGAATAAAACTTATGTGCCCGCACATGACTCAAGAGTGGACAAAATACTACATTATAAGTTGTACTTTACTTGGCATGCATGGACCCGTCGTGAGTAAGATCATCTTCATGAATATCTGGCAACCACTAAATATGTATGGATGGTGATAGAACGGGGTTTGCTTCCTCCTGTCGCAAATGTTGTTCATCGAGCTGGGTGACTCGCCTGGATGGATATCAGAGTGCTTAGTAGGAGAGCTTTACTGGTGATGGAGAACTCGGTAAAAGAGTTTGAAGAGCATGAGCAAACATAGCTTGAGAAACTCGCATAAAGGTATAGGATTGGTGAACTCGATCAGAGGAACTTACTTGAATGCTCACGAGCTTCAACGAAGGTACTTGCTAGGTTCTTTTTGTGGCAATAAACCATGAAGCTTATCACATCAAAAAGTAAAGCTAACAAGTACGATTAATCTGGTCAAGATCAAGACATCAAATGCATAGTTAATGAGCTTGATCTATTGAGCCCATTAGACCCATTTAGTATATATATAGAAATATGTAAGTACCAAAAGCGGAGACACAAATCTTAAAGCAATCGAGCGGCTCAAGAAGATGACGACACAATCGAGGCATCTAGCCACAAGAACGCAAGGTATTTAACAACCAACATCACAGTCGGAGGCACCCGACACATTATGACAAGAGATTTAACCGACGGACCACAACTATAGTCCCACACCGCCTAAATTTTTCACAAGGGCGCCCCATAGTAACATATCGATTGACTGACTTTTTACCTCGGCAAACACAATCGCCACTCAACCGGTCACTCCGGACCACTGAATTCAAGCACATCGAACACCTAATTACGGTCATATTTGAATTCAAATTGCAATATAAATTTGGCAACAAACCCTCACGATTAAATTGCATTCATAACCGTTACATTCATTTAGCATTGTGCAAATATGACGCTGTAAATAGTAATAGGAAAAACGACGATTAAAAAGATCTCTCCATGTTTCCCTATTGAAATTTTCCCCCTCACGATTAAATTGCATTCATAACCGTTACATTGGTTTAGTAATTATGCAAATATGACATTGTAAATAGTAGGAAAAACGAAGATTAAAAAGATCTCTCCATCTTTCTCTATAGAAACTTTTTGAATTACTTTGCTCTCTCTCATCCTCCTTCAACCAGCTAACTCTGGAGACTGTTTTCACAAAGAAGAATCTAAAATTCAATAATATAATTAATTATTCCGGCTCAGTTGTACCTCAGTTTCAATAAGAACATTAAAAAACAATATATTGTAATCTCGGCGTTAGGCGTAAACTCCACTTAAGCTCAACAATTAAAAAATGAGTCACGTTTGCCTCGTGGAGCAACATGATGTGATTTGATTCCTTCTAACCTAATTTATAAAAGCGAGCAAATATGATGACAACAAGTCCAGATGACGGTCAATATTACGTCCAATTATTGCTTGCATGCGGAGGAAAGTGCACGCAGACAGTACTCAGACGCATGTACTGCTATAATCAGAGAACGCACGCAACTCTGCATACGAATTCTCCAATATTACGATCACATGCGCACCAAGGTCCGGACGTATCATCTGCCGTATACAATATTTTCTATAATAAAGCAGGACCTCTGAAGAAAATAATTCTCTGCAAATATATTTACGCACAAAATAAATTTTTATCATTTCATATTTTGATATAAAATGAAATAGTAGCATAACGCAAAAGTGTCTGTAATCTCAGCTAAAGATCAGCCAGCCTCTAATATCCAAGAACTGGAGCGCCAGAAACGCAACATCACTGAAGCTCTGTCACACTCATAACCCTACAGCTTAAGAAAAACAAGCTCTTCAATGGCAGGAATCTCTCCAATCTGCCTAAGCGTTTCTCTGCTGGGTTCTTGATCAATGCCGATGGCCATGATGGCGTGCTTCCGAGGCGCAATCCTTCCCACGCTCATGAAGCTCACATTAATACTCTGCTCGCCGAGAATGCCTCCGACCGCGCCGATCATACCGGGCTGATCAATCTGCCTGCACAATATGATGCTTCCTTCCAGGCTCACATCTACGTGAAAAGAGCCTATTTTGGTCAGATAAGGAATCCCATTCTTCACTCTCCCTTCCACGGTGATCTCGCCGGTCTCCGATATTGCGCTGGCGAATTTAGACTCGACGTTGGCGATCTGAACCTGAATGAAATCGAGGGGACTCTCGGGCGAGCCGTCGAGCAAAATTCTCTCTTCAGTGATCCGAACGCCACGTTGTTTGGCAGCGAAATCAGCATTGACTAGGTTCACGAAAATACTGGATACAGGCTCAATTAGACCTTTGATGATCATGGCTCGGATCAATCTCGTGTCGAGATCATCAGGAGCTCTTGCAGACGCATAGCTCAATTTTACTGTTTTAACTCCTCCGCCGCCTGTCAATAGCTGCACCGCCAGCCGACCAAGTTTTTCGGCCAGAACGACATATGGTGTCAGCTCTGCCATAACCTGTGTGAAACCGTATTGGGGAACGATTATCATGTGGTGTCAGCTCTGCTATAAATCTCTGCCATAACCTGTGTGAAACCGTATTGGGGAACTATTATCATGCTATAAAGTGGGGGCATTTACATTCATACCATCCAATTCCTGTGTTATTCTGTATTTACATGCCGAACACCTTAACTTTACTTTTTTACATTTATGCGACGTAAATTCTTCATTTCACATAAAAAATACCACCATTTTAAATTTTAAGAAAGTGAAATAAATCTTTTCATGCATAGGCAAGGGGCTATGTATATGTAAAAATTGAGGTTTAGATGTTTATAGATATGTAAATAGATAGAAATTGAGTTGTATGCATGTAAATCTTCCTAAATAATTTAAGATTCTGAAATCTCAAGCTATAATTGTTCATGGGAGCATTTACATACAGACCATGATACCACATAATTCTTATGTATTTACATGTACTACCACCTAAACTTTCATAATTACATAGATAAAACTCAAATCTTTGATGTCACTTCAAAAATTTAATTGTTCGTAATTCTTTAATACCAAGGTATTATAAATGTAAATATTAAGCTTCAAGTGTTGGGATATGTAAATGGATAAGAATTGTGTGGTATGTATGTGAATTTCCCTTCTTTCTAATAGTATATGAAAACATCAAAGTTGTCTTGTATACCTCAGCTGGGACCATTGGTGCGTTAACTGCAGTAGCAGCGAGCTCGCCCTTCAGCGCTCCAACAACAGCTTCAGCAATTTCGATCGCAACTCCCTCCTGCATGTTCCATGAAGAAGAGCGAAGAGTTCAAAAGGAAATAAGTTTCGGATCCATTAACAGACCTATAAATCCAGCTTCATGAAAACATATTTATACCTGCGCTTCAGCGGTGCTTGCACCAAGGTGTGGTGTAACAGTTACATTTTCATGTAGAACCAATTTATATTCAGGTGATGGAGGTTCTTCAGTGAAAACATCAAGAGCTGCCTGCTCAAAAGATGGAAAAATTAAAACATCAAATGGAAGAAACTCTTTGATAAAATACAAATAATATCACAGAAAATAATAGCAAACCAACCTGCGCGACAATCCCCGCATCTAATGCTCTCAAAAGAGCTTCTTCATCAATCACTCCGCCTCGAGCAACATTAATTATACGTACTCCTTTCTTCATCTTTGCAAAAGTTTCATCGTTGAAAAGCTTATTGGTGGAAGGAGTAAGGGGCATGTGAAGTGAGATGAAATCAGCCATTGCTATTGCTTCATCGAATGTCACGAGTTCCACTCCCATTGCGTGTGCACGATCAGCAGCGGCATATGGATCATGTGCAATAACATGCATCCCCAGCCCTTTGGCCCGTCGAGCAACTTCCGATCCGACTTTACCAAATCCCATTATGGCAATCGTCTTTCCAACAAGTGAAACACCAACATATTTGTTGCGTTGCCATTTTCCTGCATATAAATGTTGAATGAAGTAAAATTACGTAATTTTAAATAGCGAGAAAAGAGAAATTTTCTCTAGGTGTTCAAAATTCAAATATATTTCTAGAGTTATGAGTTCGAATTCGAAATGCTACTGGTGGAAAGTCAGCAAAGACACTCAAATCCACGATATCATCAGGAAAAGAACTCTCATGACAAACTTAGCAATACACAGACAAGGACTAATAAGTACCTCAAACTAAGATCGATTAGAAGAATTATCAAAGGCCTTTACTTGTTTTCAAAGGTTCAGTTATTGACAAGTACAATGTCACTGAATCCTCTAAAGAATACTCACAGTTGCCAATTCATATTGCTAGGTTTGATACATTTAGGGTCTGATTAGGATAGCCGCATCTGTTTGAAGAAGCAGTTGTGAAATTGCTGCAAAAGAAGCTACTATTTAAAAAATTACGGTGGTTATTATAATTTTTTTTTAAAGTTAGACTGTAGTTTTCAAACAGCCACTGCACTTAGGCTTCTTTTGAGAAGGCGGTAAACTTCAGTTTGATTGCAGTGAACGCCAATAACTGGAGAAATTTCATTTGGTGAAGGTGTCTTGTGAACATCTCCAGAAGTTGTATCACAAAAAACGATAAATTTTCGTCATTTCAGATCATAGTTAGCCTCCTCCATTCGACAGATGTGGCTTTTAAAAGAGATTTGTTGAATATG